GAAGAAGAGAAACACATATCTATAGTGTACCTTCAAGAAAGAGAAGAATCATTTAGAGAGGAAGAAGGGTAACAAGACGGAAGCTAATATAAAGGAACATTTGGGCTAAATACCCATTAAAACATTTCAGAGTAAAAACAGATTGTGGACTAGTTTCCTAAAGAAAGTGGGAAAGCTTCATTGCTTGGGATATTTAAATACAGGCATGATAAAGCAATAGGAAACATGGCCTAGCAGAGGGTGGCCTACATCTGGGGGGCTTCAGTTTTTCTATAGGGGGAGGGGATCTCTCTCCTATTGAGCTAGGACACCCTTCCACCACTATCTTAAGGGCAGAGTGGTCCTGATTGTGGCCCAGGCCGAGAAATCCTGAGCTAGATGATCTAACATGTTTTTGCATTTAATATCACTTTCAATAAATATACTAAGATTTTTTTTAATGGTTTACTTATACATTACAAACAGTTCACAGAGTGAAATGGAAGAAAATATACTGTACATAGTTGTTCAAAACATGAGATCCCTTGTGTTACACTCCACAGATTTAGGTAATAATTCATATTTTGGAGAAATGAATGGAAGTTGTTAGCATTGATTCCAGCTACCATCCACCTACAATTAAAAATACACACCCTTTATAAAAGGAAGAGCTCAAGTTACACATTCTTGATGATTTTTTTGATATCTTCTAACGGATGGAAACTGCAAATGGGGGGGAAGTATAACTGAGTGGTTTGAGCATTGGCCTGCTAAACCCAGGGTTGTGAATTCACTCCTTGAGGGATCTGGAGCAAAAATCTGTCTGGGGATTGGTCCTGCTTTGAGCAGGGGGTTGGACTAGATGACCTCCTGAGGTCCCTTCCAACCCTGATATTCTATGATTCTAAAAGTGTTAATTTCATAGGTGACTAATTATTAAATCTAAATGGAAAGCTGAATTTTCTTGTTTGCATTCACAAAACCATAACTAAGTATCAGACCTAAATTATGTTTATACAGGAGCATGCCAAAAACCACAGGAAATGGCCAAACTGTGTTTTAAGTTACAGCATGTGGATTTACTAACAAGAAACAATGTTTTCCAAACTCCACTTTTAGTAGTAAACTAAAATATGTTTAAACCAAACATATTGGGGTTTATTTTCATCTCTGCATGTTTGGTCAGCCGGAGATAGACACAATAATCTACAAATGGGTGGAGGTTCTACATATCAAAGAGGGAGTGGATTTATTTATGGTGGCAAAGCGAAATGTAAGTGCAAGTAAAGAGAAGACATTTAAAAAGGAAAAATTTAGGCTGAATACCAGGAAAAACTTCCTTGATCTTATTAGGCTGTGGACAGCCTCCCAAAAGGAAATGGTGAAAGCCTCACTGTCTGAATCATTTAAAACTAGCCCGGATACAAGAAGTATATTGTAGAGAACAATCCTGCATTGCTAGGGAACGGAGAGGATGACCTAATACACAGGTTCAATCTTTAGCGAGATTACTGAGCCAGAGAACATACTCCATTAGGGATCAGAGTAGCAGCCGTGTTAGTCTGTATCCGCAAAAAGAAGAACAGGAGTACTTGTGGCACCTTAGAGACTAACAAATTTATTAGAGCATAAGCTTTCGTGGACTACAGCCCACTTCACACAAGTACTCCTGTTCTTCCACTCTCCTGTTCTTCCACTTCTGTGAAGTGGGCTGTAGTCCACGAAAGCTTATGCTCTAATAAATTTGTTAGTCTCTAAGGTGCCACAAGTATTCCTGTTCTTCCATTAGGGATGCGATTCTATTCCAATACACATGGACAAACTGTGGTGGGAGATAGGAGAAATAGGAATAAACAGCAGAATTTTGAATTTAGACATTAAAACAATCTACAATTGGAAAAGAACATTAGGTCATCTAATCCAAATCCCAGGATGTTAACATGCTCAGTAGGTAAGATCTGGAATGGGTAAAAAGCACTGATACTTAAGGCTCGATCCTATCTTCATTGAAATCAATTGCAAAGCTCGCCTTGACTTTAATAGTGCAGGATCAGGGTCTTAATCAAGGCACTGGACTGGCTGAGAGTCTAATCTCTTTCTGAAGCCTTGTCTATGCTGTGAAAATTTCTTAAAATCCCCCCCCCCCCCCACATTGGTTGCTAACAGGAGTGCAGGAGTCCATGGCCACAGCAATTTTTAACCTTGTGCCGGTTCAACAGTGTTTATGGAATCAAGCAACTGCTAAAGACTTCAATGATTACTTACAATTCAACACAGAGAAAACTGTACTGGGTTCCTTATTTTAAGTGTGTTTATTTTATAAATCCAAGTTTTGATCAATTTTATCTGGGGACAGGCACTATTTGGAGATCTAAATCAAGAAAACATTTTGATGAATGTGAAAAACTTTCTTGGAGTTCAGAAAAACTACTATGCAAAGTAAGAAAAGTTATGTCCCCATGTTTACCTATCTGTCTGGAAAAAGGGGTGCTGAGCAGAAAAAGCCCTGACAATCCCTTAAGCAAGCACTGCTACTTGTCCCAATCTTTTACCAATGTTATCTTACAATGAAACCATTAGGGATAAACAGAAGAGATCTCAAGTTTGCAAACCCCTTTGGAATGTACATATTTTACATTTAGTCTAGCTCAAAAACTAGGCTGTTAAACCCAAATTATGCTGCAAATCATTTGCTTTTTCTTCCTCTCCCCCCCCAAAACAATGTAATTTCTTCTAATTACAAATGGATAAATTACAATATACACAAAATCCCAGAAGCTTTCCTCAACCACCTCATAAAGCTCTATTTTGACAAATAGAGCGTAACTTTTCATTCTGATGCCTCATGCGCTAACAAAGATACACTTTAAGGATCGGTTTGCATTAATACCTCTTTGCAGATTACACAGAACATGAGGGGGTTTTTTGGTAGATAAAAGTCTTTTAAAGTTTTCTTTAGCAAAATTGAAATTCTAACTGTTTGTCACCTCTTGTTTCTTAAGGTACTGTGCATGGCTGTACTGAAAGCCAGAAGGTTTGTAAAAGTTAAGCAAAACAGATAAAAATTAAAGTTTCATAACAGAGTGCATACAGCAAGTATCCAACATTTTCAGTATGTTATATCCTACATTAAAAAGCCCCAGTGAACACTAAATCATTAGTCATCGTTCCACTGCTAATTAGGCCCTGAGGCCTACAAGTGGTGTTAATGCTTACATTGTGTGTTTTAAGGAGAACCATTACACATTTTCAGTTTTTAGAGAGGGGTCAAAGTGGCACCTAATGTCCTATTGACATTAGCTTACAAGTTTTCAAACATTTAATGAAGTTTGATTCTAGTAAGTTTGATTTACACTTACACGTAGATTAGCTTTCCACATCAAGGACTGAATCCTAACACGTTCTCCCACTCTGCCCTTTGTGCCCACAGCAGATTCTGAACATATCCTGGGGCTCCACTACAGACAGGGAGGTGTCTCGAGACCAGGGAGAGGTGCACACCCCACGAGCCATCGAATACATTGCACTGGCTTTCTCCACAGCATGCAAGGGAGGTCAGGAGGAGGTCAATGGCATGGTCAATAGCTTGATGAGATTATGCTGATCCAATGGCCCAAATCCTCTGTGTAGGTGTAGCAGCTGCTGATACAGCTCACGGACTGTTGTGGGTGTACAGATGCTCCACAGCCTAGGTTAGAAGGGTAATACCATCCGTTTTTAACCTCAGGGAGATTAAAGCCAGATTACTCCAGCCTTGCATAAACGATTATGCTTTGGCCCTGAATAAGTAACTAGAACGAATTATAATGAAATTCAGACATTTAGAATGATATAGGAAATAAAATCCTATCAAAGATCCTCTCTCTCAGATAAACACAGTATCACTATACATCAGCTTCAACAATTTCTAGCTCATCATGAATTATGCTAGATGGTGCATCTGAGCTTATACGTGTCATTTGCACTGCGTATAAAATGTGCACCTCTATTTAAAATGTTCACATTTGCTAAATATTTTCTATCATTTTAGCACGGTTAGGCCATCCCTTCTATTTCACCAATACTTATAGATGAATGCTGTTCCTTTCCTAATTTTGGCTACGTAAAATGTTCATGCTACATGAGATTTAGCATTAGTTAAAAAGAGCACTAATTTTCCAGGATCTTCTGTGTCATTACTGCTTCCATTAAATGTGACAGACTACAAACACAAAATTAGTTTTGTTTAAGAACCATCAGTGTAAGTGCTTAATTGTTTTATTTTAGTATAAATATGTAAGAAAAATGAGTAACAATTAACCAATTAGTTTGGAAGTGTTGTTGTTTTATTATGTCTTTAAATTAATCAGCTAGGATAAAACAACAAAAGCACTGGTCAAGACAGAAATAAATAACATCTTAGAGTGAAAGTTGCAAATACAGTAAATTAAATTAAAGCAATGTTTACTGCTTCGCACCGTAGCAGTAACACACTTAGGAGACAGTAGTTTTAGTCACAATCATCAAAAAGATCTATGCCAACACTGGGGAGCTGCACACCAGCTACAAAACTAAAGAATTTTATTCTACCTTTTACAAAAGTTGTGTGTGTGTGTGTGTGTGTGTGTGTGTGTGTGTGTGTGTGTGTGTGTGTGTGTAGAGAGAGAGAGAGAGAGAGAGAGAGAGAGGTCTAGACTGGTAGTTTCTGGAGACCAAACGCCTCTTTACCCAGAAAACAAATAGTGGGAGTAGAAGCAGTGCATGGATTCCCACACTGTCCCACATTTCAAGGCCGGAGGATAGTCCAGTTTCATTGGCCTATCAGTTAAGATTTGCAAAGTGTGCCAATTAGTGCCAGTTTGTGAAACTGACCTGAAACTATCATCTTATTCCACATAGGCCATGAATTATCCATCAGGTTGAAGTAACTAAAGGTTGTTACCAATGGGAACAGATTTCAACCAGTAACCTACAGGTGAATGGCTCCACAGATTCCATCACCAATCCAAAAAACCATCCAGCCACCCAACACATTTATTTTGCCCTATTCCCCATATCAAATAAGCATTTTCCAAGTATGAGCACAGACCAAGGAATGAGGTATTCTGATGGGACACTTTGATCAGCAAGAACTCCATTAGTCCGCAGTTATCTTAAAAATGTCTGTAGTGTGTAACCCTGTGGGTCGTGGTGCTGCATGCAGTCAAACTACTTGCTCAGAATTCTATCCTATTTCATAAGATACTTTGTATTAGGTAGGGTTCTGCCCGCACAAAATCAGTTACAACACTTAAATGAGCCGCCTCCCCATTAGTTTCCTATCATCTGCCTGATTCATAAAAGACAACAAATGTTTCTCCCAAGGGAGACTACTAATAAAAAGTGAAAATTAATCCAGTTCCAAGAAAGTTCCCTGGCACACTCATCTTGCAAAAGGCAGTAACTTAAGCACACGCTAGGGATTTTTCTCTTTAGCCTGCAATATCTTCAATAGCTTTAACAGAGAAAACACCAATTATCGTGACTAATCATTATGAAGGACCTCCATGTGTCTCCTCTGCCTTGCAGCCACTAACTGCAATTCTTCAGTGGCGGGGGGAGGGGGGGGGGAGGAGGTTGGTGGGAGAGGGGAAGAGAGAATATCTACTTCATTACTGGACCTCTTTCCATTAGTCAATCTGTCTGGTTTGATTTGCCATACATGACACCTAGAGACTTGGAACTGACACTGAAGTATTCCAGCAAGTAAACAGATACCCTAAACACCCTAATGACTGAGGATCTTGTCAGACAAAGGAAAATCAATAGCTAAATAGCTAGAAATACTTTTTAAAGGGCCATATCTTAATATTATGTCTAAGTATGCCAAGGAAGACCCATGTATACCATCATTACTAGGGAAGTAGGGGTTGGTGGATGGCATACATGGCCCATTACAGGAAGAAAGCTGGCAAGAGTCTGTGCACGGATATGGACAGAGGATCCCAATCCCCCATGTACAATTTTAGAATCATTATATTGTGTACCTGAGCTTCAGTGGCTTTGGGCACATCACTGCAAGAGAATGCAGACCATTGTACAAATCAGAACCGAAAGTGCCATTAGTACAAGCTATAGCCTCTTAGAGAAACCAAATATTCAATACAGAAAAGCCTTGTTAAAAATATTAAGGCAATGCCCCTATAATCGTGCAACACTTTGGACCATATTAAACCAAGATTTCTCTTCTCTCTCTCCCCTGACGGACAGCAAATTGTACTGCTGCAGAATCACTGCAAGCCAGAAATTTTGTACCAAAGTTCTGATGCATGCCCATACTAGTACATCATTTTAGTCATGGACAACACTGCATTTTAAACTTGTCCCCTTATGAAGACTGCAATACATATTGTACCCATATTGAAATACTTATTTAGGATGAGTGTATGGATAGATGTACTGTAAATATTTGGGACTACTTGTATGTGAAGACAGCCTACCATCCACTGTTGTGGGACACCTGATGGAGGGAAACAGATGAAGGATACAAGGGGCTAAAAGGAGAATTTCCTTTCTATTGCAGGATTAGCGCAAACCATTAAAATTATTGTAATGTAGCTGGCTGTGTTTAATATATAACCAAGAAATTTGCAATAGAAAATATCATGGCATGATCTTTTTGATGAGGAAAAATTATCCCTATGATTACTTAGGATTAGGAAGCTATTTTAATTAACTAAATGTGTTAAATTATACCAGTGATTAAGTCTTGTTATTTACACTTTTAAGTACTACCTTGATAATTACTAATGATGCAAAATCTAAATTAAGATCACAGGGGTTGAATTATGCTCTGTTTTAAGAGGTTTCTTTTTTAATGGTCAATCCAAATATATTTTTTAAAAGTTTGGAGAAAAGTAGGTGAAATCAAACAGTTAGAATTTTGTGCATCTTTTAAGGCATTTAACCTCCAAATCATAGTCCCATAAAACCCTTTATAGTTTACAAAATTGCAAAATAAGACTACAAAGAACAGCACACTTTTTTGCATACAGTGAAATACTAATTATTGTACTTTCTTGTAAACGTCTACTCTTATTTTCCATATTTTTTTTAAATACTGCACAATATTCCAAATATGTTTGGATAAAGAACTGGATGACGAATTTGGTAGCATTATCAAGTGTCCTGACATTTTCTGTACAAGTTTTACAAACACCTCTGGTATCACCGAAGCATGTATTATGAAGAGTTCTACTGAAACATTGCACAGAATTTGTACCACTAGGGCTTATACATTCAAAGGCGACTTTCAGGAGTGCAGGTCCATCCATTCAGATTAGGAAAAATAATTACATACACACAAAAATAAGAAAATCATAGAACTGTTACCTAATGTGACTTTACACCAACAAGAACAACAATAAGTACAATTACTATTACAAATAAAATTAAAATGACAAGCATCTTCCGATTCTTCTTCTGATATTGCTCAGCCTATAGAAACAAAAGAAAGGTAGTTAGTATGTTGATTTCAGCACTGTGCAAAAGCAGATCCTGGCATGATCCATGTTTAGTACCTAGACACCTACAGTGTTTTTACGGTTATAACTTGACATTTCACATTATACTGTAAGGCAGCCATTTTGGGTATGTCTATGTTGCAATTAAACACCCGTGTCTGGCCTGTGTCAGCTGAATTGGGCTTGGGCTGTGGGGTTGTATAAACGTGGTGCAGATGTTTGGGCTTGGGCTGGAGCCGGGACTCCGGGAACCTTCCCGCTCATGGGCTGCAGCCTGAGCCCAAATGTCTACACAAGTTCACAGCCCCACAGACTGAGCCCTACAAACCCAACTTAGCTGACATGGGCCAGTCACGAGTGCTTAATTGCAATGTAGACATGGCCTTATAACTCAATAGCTCATGTCAGCACTGTACAGACTTCTTTGACTTGGTATTGATGTACTGAAGACAAGTATATGCTGAAACCCCATTTATCCACATTAGATTAATTCAGATAAGAGTGAAACTTCAGGTCACAGAATTTGATCTCTTGTCAATTAAACAAAGTTTGGCTGTGCTTATCTTTAGTTCCGGGAAAAGCTGTATACCCTGTAGGGTGCTGTGTAAAATATTACTTTACCTAAAATAGAGGCGGCACATCTGAAAGTGTAAATGATAACTAAAATCAGAATTTTAGATTGTTTAGGTGCGGAAATTACCTAAATTGTGGACACAAATCAGGCAATTGTGCATACAAATGTCTCTAAATCAGGGTTTCTCAAACAGGGGTCGCCGCTTGTGTAGGGAAAGCCCCTGGCGGGCTGGGCCGGTTTGTTTACCTGCCCCGTTCGCAGGTCCGGCCAATTGCGGCTCCCACTGGCCGCAGATCGCTGCTCCGGGCCAACGGGAGCTGCTGGAAGCAGCACGGACCGAGGGATGTACTGGCCGCCGCTTCCAGCAGCTCCCTCCCATTGGCCCAGAGCAGCGATCCGCGGCCAGTGGGAGCCGTGATCGGCCGGACCTGCGGACGGGGCAGGTAAACAAACCAGCCCGGCCCGCCAAGGGCTTTCCCTACACAAGCGGTGACTCCTGTTTGAGAGACCCTGCTCTAAGTAATAGAGCTGGTCAAAAATTCTTCAAACTTTTTTTTGGTATTATTTTAACAAAAGTGGTTTTTGTAAGGAAATGAAATTTTCAAAAAAAAAAAAAAAAAAAAGCTTCACTTCCTTTAAAATGTGTTTTTTTGATATAACAAATCAAAATGAAAATTTTGTTTTTAGTTTCTGAAATTGGAATTGAAAATTTTTGTTTCGATTTGGTTTTCAGTTTTCTACCCCCATTCCTCCACTCAGGAGAATAGAGGGGGGAACCACCACCACCAAAAGAAGCCAAAACTAAATTTTTAAAATCAAAACCAAACAACGATTCTTGTTTTGATTTCTTAAATCAAAATAAACATCATGACAATTTTTGAAGAAAATGAAAAATGATGTTAGAATTTTTTCATGAGAAATGCTTAATAGGGCTGCTGAAGAAATGTTAACTACCCACTTTCATATGCAATTATCTGATGTGCAGTCAACATAATTGCACACCTAATTAGCCTGTAAATCTGGCCCTTAAAGTATCCCAAAACAATGGCTTGTGTAATTTTCATTTTGTTATGAGGGAGGAATATTTTAATACTATTAATGACATCAGGTTTCCAAAGTAAATTAATGCAAATCAGTTGGTATACAGAGTTTGAAATAGCTTGATAGTTTGAAATAGCTGTGCACATTAAAGCAGAAAAGAAAACCAACATATGCCTTAAAGAAAAAAGAGATACCAATCGTATTGAAAATAGCAGGCACTCTGTTTTACAGTATCATGATAATTTGCATATATATTTCCTGTGACTGATTAGATTTCTACCAAGTGCTTGGCTACAGCACACATCTACAGAAAACAGTCAGTATAAAATGCATATTGCACTAAGGATCCAAGCTCTAATCAGTATACCACAAGGGACCTGTGGCAGGGTCACGAACTTGACTATATCTTTCCAGTTCTGATCATTTATTTATTTCTAGCCCATTTTGTGCAAACTGCTGGTCATTACTTTAATAATTATAGCCAGGGGATCAATGCCCTGTTTTCAGTGGTCACCAATTCATCTTTATACACAAGCAGAAAAAAGAAACTAGATAGCAATGCATTATGCTCTTCTCCAATGGCACTTTGCTGATGACAATGTATCAGAAATCTGCAATGATATGAGAAGACTGAGTTTGCAGTAAATAGACTTCCAAGTTTCCAAAATATAATGGGCCACTGAGATTCTGAGGTTGAGCCTAAACCTCTCATTCCATGTTTTTGCCAGCCATGGAAGGATTCAATTGAACAGAACAAAATCCTACATTTTTAAAAAAGAGGGAAAGAAAATTCTTTTTGTATCATTTTGCTGGAATCCAAGCTTTTCAGCTACCTCAAAGCTAAGATGTCCAGAGCAGAAGCATAAGGTTGGACTAAAATCCTAGCTGATGCAGTAGAAAAAAGGAAAATATCCACGGTTAGCTCCACAAAAAGCAATGCCTGCGTATTAAACCCAGGACTCCAGGGACATTTGCAAACTTGGGTATCTAAAGTGAGGGATTTAAGTCCACGACGAGGGACCTAAGGAACTAGTCTTCTCTTCTGTGTAAGCTGCATGAGGCTCAGCAATTGGAAGTCAGGCCACCTGTATTTACGTGCTCAACTAGGGATTGGATGCCTACTGCCAGGAATCATGTTTGAAAATGGTTGCATCTGATGAAGTGGGTTTTTTACCCATGAAAACTTACGCCCAAATAAATCTGTTAGTCTTTAAGGTGCCACTAGACTCCTTGTTATGTTTGAAAATGTTACCCAGTAAAGTTCCTGGTAGAGTCAGATCATAGATTTCACTTGCTGTTGCATCCACAATTGCCACACAGCCATTGTACGTGACAGAAGAGGCACCAGTTATTTATTTTTTTTAAATTTGGCCATGGTGTTTGATGGATCTACTTAAAAATATTAGTATCATGTAACAAAGAGTATAGTATCTTAAACATCCTCTCTGTTTACCTTATGTAATTGTTTCAATCCCTCTTCGGTTTTTACACACGACTGCTCAACATTGTAGTCAATTCTGTCCAGAACTGTACCCTGAACAACAAACAACAGTTATAATGAGCATGAACCTGAACCTAAATAAATACTACAATTGTGACAATCAGTTACAATTAATAAGAGCGTGATAAATAGGGTTCACTGAAGATAACTGATGAACTATGCAGTCTTCAAAAAAAAAAAAAAAGAACAGGTCAAGAAAATAAAATGTTGTCTTTAAAGGAGTTCCTAGCTTGGCTGCCTAAATAATGGGACTGTTATACACCTCAAATTGTGCATGCTTTAACAGTGATCATTTCAGTTTTTAAATTATAAATGCAGATCCAGTTACTTGTAATGACCAAAAGTTTCTTGCAACTTTAACACTTTTTCATGATCCCAGGAAACAATGTTGTACTCTTGGTTAGTTTTCTCAACCCCCAAATTCCTTGCACCATGGAAACGAACAGAAACAATGGGCATCCAAACCCTTTGGGTATGGGTATATCTACATAGCAACCGAGAGGGTGCTTCCCAGCACTGATACACAGACACACACTAGAAAAGGTTGCCAGAATTTTTTTAACATGGGCAAACATATTTTCCCCTAGCCTGGAAACCATTTTGGTGGCAGGGGGGAAAGGAAGAAGGGGGGAATATGCAAACTAGCTTGAGGCAGACACCAAGCATGGAATATTACAGCCCAAATGGTTGAAATTTGGCAAAGTTGTAAGAAATTGAAGAGAGGGTCTAACAGCGAGAAGTGTCAGGCAACCTTAACAACAGGCAGTGCTACCAGCTCTGTCTGTAGTGCTGATACCCTGGGTCCACATACCTGTTCCACTATCATTGATCCAAGGTCCCTAAATATTTCATTGAGATCAGAGATTGATTGTACAATCTGGCGGATTTCTCGTTCCCGCTCTTCCACCATTAACGAGTTTTGTTCCACCAATACTAACTGGTCATCTGTAAAACCCTGTAGAAATAGAAGATTTAAATGATGAGCTAACAGTAATAACATGGAACACTGGTAGCAATAAATATAAAGTATTATCATCCTAATGCCAGGGTCTCTTTGGAACTCCCATAGCAGCCACAGACTTCATTGAGAAAAAAATCTTAGTATGCAACTGTGCATTAAATATATAACAGATTTAGGGCTGCCACAAAAATAATTTGGATTGCCATCTGTATTTCTGGTAGAGATGATTTAAATCCAGCTATGCATAATTTAAAAAGAAGAAACTTGCACACCCAAAATAGGCTAGCAGTTAAAATGTCAGCAGGACATAAAAATCTGTTTGAAAGCAAGTTTGCCCCCATGTATAAAACCAAAGAAATGGCAAACATACATGTCAATGGTAGTAGGTATGGCCTAGCTACTCAATGCTCATTGTACAGAACATCTCATAAGGTCAACTGCTGTTAAAGTGTGTATATTACAGCAATGACTGTGTTTGCAGAATCCTTTTGTATTACAGACATTTCTATTTTTATCTCCCAAGGCCATTCCCTACAAAGCACTGCTCATTTTCAGGCTCTCTTGTTTAGAGGTCAAGTGGAACACTACTTTTATTATGCTACTTGAAATACAGTCCACCACCTTTTCCACGAGTTTGCTGCTTAACCCTTTAGTATTGGAGGTTGTGGTGTTTTGCAGTGCCAACAAGCAGAGGCATACTGAGAAACACTGACATAGCAGGGGTACGCAGTTCCCTGAAACACTGCTGTGGGTACTTGTAAGGGATGCATCTGGCATGCGTGGTAACGCTAGAGATGTGTATTGTGTAATATACCAAGTAGGTGAGGTAAAGGTGAAGCATTAAATTGGACCCATTCTTCGTATCTATGCTCCATAAGGTCTGTGCAGAAAACTTCAACTTCTTTGTCAAGCGGAAATAGAGTCACAGGGATCACGCCTAATGATTGCACATTGCCACCATCCAATTGAAGCTACCATCCTGCCAGCTGATGACAATTCTCTTCAGAACCCCTGCATGTGCCCTGGGAAAATGGAGTGAGGGGTGACAATGCTGCCTCTGCAGAGCTCCTAGTCCCTATCAGGGGAATGAGAGTTTGATTACTGAACTCATGTCTCCCACACGGCAAAAATCAAAGCTAATCCCAACATCCTAACATTATGAATGACAATCTGTGCTCTTCCTTTTCCCCAAAAATGTATGGTATGGTACGTATTACTGAACATATCTTAGTGATGTCATATCAGAACAGAAAAATACTTTTTTTAAATTAAAGTCTTTAAAACCCCCCACTCATTTACAATAGTGCTATTAGGAAAACACTAAGACAACTGGCAAGATGGAACTCCCATGTGGTTTGATACATACATCAGACACAATCTGATTTTTTGATTCATTCTCATGATTCTCCTATTTAAGACCACAGTAAAAAAAAAAACCCCACTCGCCAATAAACTTCACTTAATACCTACTAACTTACCCTATCATAAAGAGTACTGTCCTCTCCATCATCCATAAGCGGGACTGACGTATCGAAGAAATGCTTGGATCTTTCTTCTCGATTCTTCATGCCTGTAAAAAGAGGAAAGCTGTGGTTGAGTATAATATTTAGATGCAGAAAGTCACTCAGGTCCACTATTACCGTTTTGAAATACAACATTCTGAATGTTAATGTACTTTAGGTGAAATAAGATTTTTCCAGAAGCTTCAGGAGGACACAAGAGATGTGCAGGAGAGGGAAACTTACGTATGCAGAGCAATATCACGCCATTAGCCAGATTTTCCTAAGTGACAGGCACTGAATTTTAATCGGCATATACAGATTGCTATTTACAAAGCATGACCAACTTTGACTACACAAGATTCTGATTAGATCAACAACTCTTAATCATCATGTTCCATGAACTTCAAGTAATTCAGCATGCTCTAACATTCAGCATATCAAATTTAAAGTAATTTAAAGGTTTGTTTTTTTGTTGCCCCATCTTTAAAAAATTATTTTATTTCTTTTTGCAGAAAAGCACATTATTAGGATTGAGCAAAGCTAGAGGTGATGAGTAAATACAGATACTAAGGTGATGTGGGCTGCAAAGTACCTACGTAGATACATGCACTATGTCTCTCACAGGGCAGCAGTTTTCAGTATGTCACCCCAGAAGTTATTTTCTAACAAAGAAATCCTCTCAGTTGCATGTCTCCTCCTAGTCATGATCCCAAACCTTACCTGTGGCAACTATAGTGCTGTGCTACAGGGTGAAGAGATATTAGGTGAACATTAAGTGGACAAGATAAAAATAAGTTGGTGAATTTGCGTAGTTACAGAATTTTGGACACTGCACATTATATATGTGGTATATTCCACACAACATTTTGCATCTGTGTTCTCTCTCCTCTATGGCTATTGGACATTAACATTTATTAGCAATCAATCTCCACTTGTTGCCTGTACATAAGACTTCACTCATATATATACCTCATATTTGTACTTGTATCAAGACCACGCTAAGTATATTAACTTATTTTATAAATAAGACCAAAGAGGCACAGTTAAGTGGTTTGAGCACAGGACTTAGAGCCAGGAATTCCTGAATTCCACTACTAGCTCTTTGTGATCTTGGACAAGTCACTTAACCTCTCTGTGCTTCTGTTTCCCCAATCCAGAAAATGGGGATACCACCTTCACAGCACAAATGGAATAGGGCGAGGGTATTTGTTCAATACTTTGCAGACAGAAGGCACTGAGTACTATATGTCTTTGCAGATGCTTACGTTTGAGATAGTCAGACTGTGCATGCCTAAAGTTGGTGGATAGGTCTTGAAGCGACTGTGCTAAGCAAGACACTATGTTTCTGAGAACACGTTCTTCTTGTTCTGTACAATTACGTGACCTGCTCTGCAAGGCCTGGACTGCTCTCTGGCACCTGTGAAATAGCTGAAAAAATAATTCCCATTAGTCAAAGAATAGTAAGACATTTTAATTATCACATGGCTCAAATGCTGAATGAATGACTGTAATACTTTAACATAAGGATCTTTAAAGAAAAGTAAAGTACACTGATGTCCAGGCTGTCATTTAAATGGATATAAAAACACAGCACTCAGATGAAGACTAAAATCCAAACAACTTTGCAGCTAAACGTAAATGAAAGTTTTCTGTAAGCTAGATTTTGTAACTGATTAAAGAATTTGTGATTAAGCAAGTTATGATATTTACTTTGTGAATAAAAAAGGCATTCAAGAGAGCATGCTGGTTGCAGAATATTTACTCCATTAGAAAGTAATGACTTTTGTTCAGAATGGAGGTTGCATATTAGTAATACTATTTTATATTTTATAACTCCTTTACAAACATGAATTACTTGAGCCTCACAATCCTACAGCAAGGGAGTTAACATCTATATTACAGATGGGTAAACTGAGGCACAGAGCAAGTAAGTGACTTGTCATCATAGAGTACAAGGCCAGAAGAGACCACCAGATCATCCAGTCTGACCTCCGGTATATCACAGGCCACCACCACCCAGGATCTCAGTGAAAGCACAGTGGAAGAACTAGGCACAGAACCCCAAAGTTCTGGCTCCCTGTTCTAACCACAAGAGCGCACTGATTATCAAATGTGAACTTTATTTCAAATAAGTCCGTGCCACTCCAGGATAGAGCAAAGTAAAACTGTGGTTTCGGAACTGAACATAATTAACATCTTCTCTGAAAATATTTCATCTGCACCTGTGTGATCTCTTGGGTAGTAATTTCTATTGCATGTTCTTCTTCGCTGCTATCATCCAAAGTAGGTCTGTTTAAATATTTGTCGTGAAGACTGGCTAATTCTTTCATCTTCTGTTTAATCCTGCTGATATCATCCTGAATCTAAAAGAAATGGAGAAAGGACAGTAATGCCACAAAGAAAAAGATTCTGACAAATATCAGATAGACTTAATTTATGTAAAGACATAATTAACAGAAGCGTGTACTGTAGAAAAATAGGCCAAATATTTTAAGCCAAAATGTACAAAGTTGGCCTCTGAGGTTTGGTCTGTGACCTTGTTGCTCTTTTGACATTTTAACTTAGTATAAACCTCCACCAGTACCCACTGGATGGGACTATGGTACTTTCAGAGATATAACTCCACTGGACTGGACCATAATACAGTCAAAGGATCATTCAAATTATATAAAAAACTAATAGTAAAATCAAAAATGTAAATGTAGAAGGGAATATGAAAAATCCAGATGGCACCTTCACCCATATCACATGGTGTTGTAATGCAAACCAAGCATAATGGTTTAAATTCAAGGGCATAATTTCAAATTGGCTTCTACCAATACAACTGTAAGGTCATAAGCCAGAAGTCTGCAAGCAGTGTCTTGTGCTTGTAACAGCTGAATACCCATTTTTGTGCACACGAGGTTTTTTTGTGTACAGAAAAGGACGTGACTGTAAATGTTGTGAGTACATTTTTAGAGGCCTTTTTGAAATCTGTACTAGTAGGTTCACTTTTTGTGCCGTGTTTCTTGCATTATGCATGTAAAACAGCATTAGAATTTACAAAAAGACTTTACTTCAACTAACTCCTTTGTAAATTACTATTACAATAAACCTTATTGCATTAGGGTTGTCACAGCTATTTTCCCAATAAAATCCTTGCACGAGAAACTACACCCAACAATAACATGCAAGTACTTACTTCTCCCACTCCATCAACCCATTTGGGAGGTAGCCGCTTTGTTACATAAACTGCTGCTTCGGGATCTAAACTGATCCCTGATACTAGTGCCATGCGATCATCAGCAAGCTATGAAGGGGAAAAGCAACAAATTTAAAGACAGAAACCGATGTCTATTCAGATTATAGACATCCAATTCAGGTATTTGTAATCACTGTAACTGCAACCTCGCTTAAAAAAGGCCATCTTAACAGAGTAGTTAATGCACTCCATGTACAGTTTACTCATTTGTGATGGATGCTCATTTCCTGGCTTGTTTCTCACACATTAATTAGCAATGTCCTTGTGTCCTGCCAGGACTCGGGAGATAGAATCCACTCTGCAACTAGCGGGCAGCCACACATTTTCCTCTCTGCTTCGAAGTTGGGACTCAGGAAGCCCTTGAGCTGGAGTAAGGGAAGTGGCCTCACTCTATGTGAGAGCTTGTTGCCACTGGATCCTCATATTGGCCACATTTCTCTACAGATCAGGGCTAGCCAAAAGTTTCAAATTTCATTTCAAGGACTTAATTAAAAAAAATTATATATACACACATATATATATATATATTGTTTTGTAGTCTCAAACAATAGTATGAGATTTCCAAATAACCAAAGATCATGTTTATTAGCTCCCTTTGAAGCTAAGAAAAGAAAGTTTTCTATATTCTCAGTCTCCAGTGAGTTCTTTCACATAAATACTGTATTTGATTCATTCGGAATCTCAGATACTAGGGGGACACGGGCTAGATAAGTAGCTCCTAGACCAATATATTTAAATAAATGATCACGTGTAAGGTCTTCTAGAATTGATATGAAGAAAACTTGGAGGATCCAAATTATGATGATCAGCAAGTTGGGGCAGCACACGGAGGGCACAGAGGATAGGAATACTTTTCCAAGAAGCCTTACAGATTCCCAAGAGGTGGAGAGTAGGGCAGAGCCCATATGTGACTTCCCCCTGGTCCAGAGCAATGTTGGAGGTGGCAGGGGGAGGGAAGAAACCCACTCTTGCTTCCACAGCTTAAGAACCCAAGTATGTTCCCCCACTATACGTTCTCAAGAGAGGAGAAGCAACACCTGTGGGCAGGCTACACCCCCTCCCCTCCCCCCCCGGGGAGCCCCAAATGACTCTTATTGGCACCTTCTGAGCCTTGGAAACCAGTGACATCAAGACATCTACTTCATACTTGAACAAAATATCTTCTGAGGGGAGGAACCTTTGAAGTTTTGGTGGCCTCCCAGCCTCAGATGGGGAGGGACCCCCTCATCTCAGGGTATTGGGGGGATAGTTTAAAAAAAATACTAATAATGGTAGGTAGAGGAGCAGTCTGGAAGAGGCAGGGGAGAAAGCAAAAATAAATAAAACTGTATACAACTAGGCAGTGTGCCCAGAGTCACCTTATTTGGGGTAGGAGAATTTTAATAAAACCTGAGGGGCTATGTTTTTAGGAGGCATGTTTACAATAACAAAGCTAGTATACATGATCTATACCTGTGCAATAATAAGCCAACGTAAATACATGATACCCCTATCCTCCCTTCCCTAATCCCGTCTGCGTGTTGCACTCACGTGTTGCATCTTGTCTACTTAGGCCCCAATCCTGCAGAGATCTGCAACATTAAACACCTGAATCCGTGCAGGGCCCCACTGACATCAACAAGGGTCTGCCTGCATGGAGCTCACTGCAACATCAGGGGCTTAGATTGTATGTATACTTGTATTTGTACAGCGCCTAGCACAACTGGGCCTTGATCCTAATTAAGGCCTCTGGGAGTAACCATAAAATAAGCAAGTAATAATAAGTAGCGATCCTGGCAAGGAAATAAATAACCACACAAGCGAAGCTGCCAACAGAAATGCTTTTAGAAGGAAATAACCTCAAAACCATTTTGTATGTACCGGTAATTACAGTGACTCTCATAGTGAAAGCAAGCCTTTAAAAAGTGGCCCGCTAACATCATAGTATGTTCTCTAGAACAGCACACATACAAAGAGGAAAAACATCCTGCGTATATCACAATTCATAGGAGTCACATAATTTGAACGATAGAAGATGTTTTAATAGGTGTCATGATATAGAGTTTAATGTTATTGGAAGCTGAAGTACACGGATTTATTTACAGCAGTGTTGTAAGTTTTAAAATGAGGGTGCAGTACATTCTGAGGAGAGTTAGATAGTATACTTGAAAACAGAGCACAGATTTCTATTAAAAGATAGCATGGCTGCAACCAGATTTGAAAAGTTGAAAGGTTTTAAGGGAAAGAGAGAGAGAACTAATCACAAAGATTATCTGCAGAGTTGCAAATGCTTACAGTAAGTGTGCAGGAGCCTTATTTTCCAAATCTTACTGTTAGGTGTAGGTCAAAAAATTTTCACTTCACCCTCAAGAGGCATCTACTAAAGCCTTAAAATAAAACAAAGAAGCTAAAAAGAGCATAACATCTTTGCTCAGTCTGGCAAAGACTAAAGGCCCAGTTCTGATGTCAGATATGCCAATGCATTATATGCTGTTATAGGATTTGACATAATTAATGATGAAATACACTTGTTTATCCTCAATCAGAATTGTGTCCTTAAAGTGTGGAGTGGGTGGAAGGAAGATGTCCATTTATTTCCTTACCCTAGCAATCTCTTAGTGCCCTCCCTGCCACTCCTTTTTACCCACCAAAGCTAACAACAGAAGAATCTCAAACTGATTTAGACACATAGAACAAGGTAGTTTATCTGGATCTGTTCTTTTTGCTGAGTTAGCTGCTGTAACCTTCAGTATATTTTATTTTTTTTTATATGCGATTGAAATAACTTGTAATTAAAAAGGGAAATGAACACAGTATGTAGTTACAACAGTAAGGCTCATTACAGCTCTTTACAAACAAGGAAACTCTGAGGTAAGGCCAATAGTACAATAAACAACAACATAAACCACTTAATACTCCTACAGCACTTTCCTTCTGAGTACCTCAGAAAGAAAACTTTAACAAACCCTCACACATCCCTTGAAGTAGTATCCTAATATAACTGATGGGTAAACAGAGGCACTGAGAGGTTAAATGACTTGTCCACAGAAAATTTATGGCAGAGCTAGAAATGAGACCTAAGTCTCTTGACGCCCAGTCCTGTGATCTAGCCACTAGACCATACTTTCTAACTTAATTCACTCAGCCTCCTCTCATTCCCACTGAAGTACTGCGGCAACACACTGCTCCAGCTACAAACAGAACCACTCCGCTTCTTTATAGGACATTGAACGAATAATAAAATGGATTTATTTTATAATTAAATAAAGCAGCATGAATGGTCTCTGATGATGTACCGGTACTTTATATTAAGAAAAAGCTACTGAAGTACGTTTTCTTCAGTTCAGTTTGTTTGGGTTGCATTTTGAAGTAGGTTGCTGTGCCTATACAGATGGATTATACGTGGTTGCGAAGGCAAGATTTTTCAAAATGTCATGTAAACCGAAGATGTCATATTAGAGAAATCCCACTAATGCTACTTTGTGTAAGCAGATGGCAATATGTATATTTTGTAGCTGTGCCGACAATCAAAAGCTGTGCAAATTAATTGTTTCTAGTGTATAATGCTTTTCTAATTTAAAGTTTAAGCTTTGAAGATCTGTTGATAATAAGGATACTCCCCCAAAGGCCCTGTTGCTGCAAACATTACTGGGCACACTGCTTAGTCCATTGAAACCTAAGGGACTACTCTCAGAAATAAGCCCTATGCCTGCTATAGTTTACAAAAGCAGGAATAACATTTAATGGTTTCACTGTATAAAGTTTTTATATATAGTGTGTACAAAGTAAATCTGGACAATTTTATGTAAGTATATAGTAATACTGTAATGTGACTACCCTGAACATCAAAATGTCTCACAAAAGCTCTCCTTCACATTAATGAAAAAGCTGCCTTATCCTTGTATTGTGAAAAAACCATCAGTGATCTCACACTGTTAAATCTCAAAAATTAACAGTAAAAAGAAATGAGTGTTCTAACTAATCATCATCTATACTGGATGCACCAGGGTGGAACAAAACATAAAAAAAATAATACCTCATCCAGCTCCTGATATGATTTGTTGATTCCATCAGCCCCATCCATTTAGGGACAGCAAAAGGTAAAAGAGAGAGAGAGACATAGGACAGAGATAGGGTACAGTCAGTTGAGAAAATACTGAAGCTTTATTTTTTTAAAATTGACAATTTACCAAAACAAACCAAAGAGGCTCTTAAAACAGTAATGGCTAATAAAATACAGCATTCTCAATGTATCTACATAAGCATTTAGCCTGGTGCACAAAAGCACATTTTTCTTTAAAAGGTATTTCAGTTAAACTGGTAAACAGGAACACAATTTTTGTTTAAAAAAAATAATCAAGAAACAGTCAAGAAATTGATTTAAATACAATATATGATTTCAAATACCACCTATCAGATAGAAGAATTGCTGTGTAAAACATGTTTAATGTGAGCTGTAACAGTTGAATGTAGCAAGGATCATGTGTCCAGGATATTCAAAACCCAGCATACATTTTGACACATTCAATTCAAGAAAGAGATTGGAGGACCTGTATGCATTTTGGTTTGATATTTTTATTAGGCAAAGCTTAAAAAATTGACTCAAGACACACATTTACTGATAAGCATCCCACTCACCTTAAGAGGACACAGTGAAAGGCAAAAAAGCCACACCCAAACACCAAAAGATGCAAGAGCTAGTTTAGTAAACTCTAGTTATCAAATAATGTTATTGTCCTTATAGTTGAAAAGCATATAAAAGACTAGCAACTACAATATATTTGCAACTTTACCAGTGTAACCACTGTGTTATCTTTGTACTGTATGGTGTATGAATAGGAGGCCAGAAGAATCATTGAAAAATAAATAAAGCAAACGTTGCTTTAAAAGTAAGGACAAAATGCTTCAGAGGTAAAAAGGTGTCTCATGCTACACTGACATACCTCTTATATTTACATACTCCGCTTTAGAAATAAAAAGTAATTTAAGAATGCTAAGTATTTAAACTTTGCCTGAGTATTTAAAATTTCAGTTGCATTGATTCAATGACTGTCAGTATCAGAAGGCTGAACTATTCTAATGCAGAATAAAAAAAGTTAACTTTTTACAGCAATTTCTAGTACTCATGAAGGGTGGTAGATCAACAACCCTGGAACCTGTTTATCCCAAAACAAGGTAAGACAAGGTAGTGACAATTAGGCTTTGTCAACCTGCCATTGTGCTTCAACCCTGCTCTGGAGGCACCATGTTAGGGAGGAAAAGGCAATTTGCATAGATGCTATACTGCTAGGTGTAGTGATAGGCACCCCAGATATATATGACAGATAGGTCGGTCTATACAGTTTTTGGCTTTCTTGCTGAGACAAACGTGGATTTAACTAAGGGTACGTCTATACTTACCTCCGGGTTCGGCGGTAAGCAATCGATCTTCTGGGATCGATTTATCGCATCTTGTCTAGACGCGATAAATCAATCCCGGAAGTGCTCGCCGTCAACACCGGTACTCCTGCTCCGCGAGAGGAGTACGCAGAGCCAATGGGGGAGCCTGCCTGCCGCATGTGGACCCGCGGTAAGTACCTTGTAGTTCGAACTAAGATATTTCGACTTCAGCTACGTTATTCACGTAGCTGAAGTTGTGTATCTTAGTTTGAACTGGGGGGTTAGTGTGGACCAGCCCTAAGTAGCAATTATGGAACAGACAGCTGTCCACTAGGAACTAGGTCCGATTAATAATTCATTTCACACAGGGCAACAAGGCGACATGAAGCTTTTCAATCTCTGCCAGTACTGGTTGCATTTACACCAGCACTTGACAAAATAGCTTTTTATTCCATCAATGCTAGTAAAAAGGTTTTGAAAATATAAAGCTGTAAACAAGTGCTAAGTATTACTAACCCATTACCCTTTCAATGGAAACTGAATTTGATTGGTCAGTTGCTTCTACACCTGTTTTTATGATCAGTAACATTTCTAGGTAAATATTAAAACTTTAGAATGTCTAAAAAAAATCCTGGCGATTTAACAACCTCTAATTACAATCTGGACAAATAAAATTTTAGAAAAGCCAAATAGAGTGCCAAAATAAAGTACATTTAAAATATATTACTAGGTGTGACCTTTACTATTCTATAAATGTAATTTCATAAGGAGCTTGTACAAAGATAGGTGGAATAAAGCTAACCATGAACAAAGATTAGTCAACGGCAGCTCCCAGGTTGAAATGGAATTTATAGCAGTAAGTACCGTTTCTCCTTACAGAAAATGCACTAATGAAAAGTAACAGAGAAAGAAAGGAGGACCTATATGTTTACTGGAGGCTTTTCTAAATAAATGAGAAGATTGACTTAAAAGTGGAAATGGACAGAGACAATTCTGTACTAATGTAGTTTCAGTTACCAGCCAGAAATCTACTTGGCTGGGCTGTCAAATGGGCTGCTTCGTTACTTACTGAAATACAATTTTTAAAACTCAATTCAAATTGGGCCTGTTTATATACATTTAGAAAAGCCTCTCTCTCTCGATAATTATTTCATAAGTGATTTCAAAGTAACACTGGAATCTGAAGTTTTCCCTCATAGTCTGACTAGACCAAAATTTACAAACAGCCACAGGTATAGTTTGTCCTCTCGCACTTGAGGATTATGCTTGGTGGTATCTGCACTATGTATTATAACCACTTTGCAATAGAATACAAACAACAAAAGCTATAAAAACCGTCAGAGAAGAAAGAGGAAACAAACAATAAGATATTAAGGAGAAAAATGGAAGGGCTTCTCCTTTCATATTTAAAACATCCAAATTAGAACCACAGCATATCTATAATAACTTGCTGTATGTTTAAATTACCAATGGAGAGAATACACTCCAAGCCCCAACCCTGCAAACTTATGTACAAGGGTGGACTCCTGTGCCTGCAGAGTCCAATTAGCTTCTACATTTGCTATTATACTATGAAGTATTTTCAAGTAGCTGAAATAATATTTAGCTGAAAAAATGTACAGAGTTTTGTATGCTGGATTTTTGCATACTTAGCTATATATATAGCAGTGGAATGTGGCTTTATTAAAACAAGCAATTAAATTTCAGAATGGAAAAATAGCAAAGCTAATTCCTACCAGGGAAAGAAAAATTGAATGACTAATACATAACTAAACATGTCAAATCACTTATGGCCCTGATCTCACCTGCAGATGTGCTAATGAGCACATCTGTGCCTGCATGGTGGCCTGCTCTAATTGCATCTTCTTGCAGGAATGGTAGCTATAACATAGACTTTATACAATGGGTCCAATTTTGAGATCCTTCGTTAAGGATTCAACAGGGGCTTTGCCTGTGAGAGTCAGTATTGGACCCTGTATGCATATGTACATGTTCTTTAAAACAAGGAAGAATCAAACTATGAACTAAAAGTGTACCTGGATTCAGACTGACATGAAGATATAAAAAAACTGAGTGGCCGCAAATGGTTTTAAAACTAGAAAATTTTGATTTCATTATTGCTTTTGCTTAAATTGTTTCCTTGCTTTTTTCATCCCTCTATGTACAACTGGAAAATAGATGTTTGCATTCACTAAGATAACAGAGCTAGTTGCTTTGGAAGTTCAAAGTCCTAATAAAATTCAGCTTCTAGATTGCTTTTGGGTGACAAATTCCCTAAAGGGAATGGTGTAATTTTTTGGGGTAGGTTAAAAGAGAGGCAAACAAGCACTGCCTGTGTGGACAATTATAAGCCATCCTACTTCCTTTTTCCCTACACTTTCACTAAGTGTCATTATGTGATGGTATTTTCAGAATTTGGAGATTGAATCATGGTAAATTTGGAATGCATTTATTGATTGAACAACTTCTACAAGAAACAACAAAAAGATCCGTCAGTTCTAGGATGCCATGTTACATGAGCTTCAAAAGGCATTCATGCATTGCATTTTAACAAATTTATGACACTGTGCCACCAATGGGATGGGATAGCTCAGTGGTTTGAGCATTGGCCTGCTAAACCCAGGGTTCTGAGTTCAATCCTTGAAGGAGCCATTTAGGGATCTGGGGCAAAAATCTGTTTGGGGATTGGCTCTGCTTTGAGCAGGGGGTTGCACTAGATGACCTCCTGAGGGCCCTTCCAACCCTTGTATTCTATATGCCTCTTTTTTCCTTAAAATATCAGATACACATTGAAGAGAGCACAGTCATTCATTTTACTTCAGAAAAGGGGGAAAAAAAGAGATACCAGCAACTTGTCTCAAAATAAGAAAAGGTTAAAACAATGGTGCTAAACTTCATTATAAGTTTTAACAGTGCCCACAACAAAGTGAGAAGAAGAGATCAGAATGAAAAGATAACTTTGTTCCTTTCACCTGGGAAGGGAGGTGGGGTTGGGAGAAAAAGGAGAGACAACAACTTAATGTCTAATAATAATGTGAAGATATTTAAATAATAATAAAGATTATTATTTATGGAGCAAACAGTCAAGATCAATATGATAGGACAAATCTATTCTATTCATTTTACATGGGGAGAGGACAGTGGGAGGGAGAGGTAGTGTTAGAAGTGTGGGACAAATGGAAGGTGGGAGATGGGGGAAAAGTGTAAGGGGGAAGGAAATAGTAAGAGGAAAGGAGATAGGGAGGAGGGGAAATATAGGGTGAGGAGAAGGGTAGCAGGGGGAGTTTTGGGGGGAAGGTGAGGCAAAGGGGTTTACTAGGGGCAGAGGAGATGGGGTGAAGAGAGGAGGAAGGAGGAGACAAGGACACTTGCTGTCTGACTGTCCTAAGCAAATGGCATTAGAGCAGCAAGTGTGGGATACAGTAGGATGAAGGGAGGAGACTCACCGCAGCAGCCATGCTACGTGAATTCAGAGGGCTGGAGGAGCTGTAACTACTCACTTGCTCGGCCAGCAGCTGCCGGTTTTGGATCGCGTTGTTCCGCAACAACAAGAACGCGTCTGTTAAACGCCGGGTGGCCATGGCTCTACTTCTAGGGCCCCCCTGGACTCCCCGCAGAGCTGTCACGGGACCCCTCGGCACCCCCGGGGGTCCCAGCCCCGAGCCTTCAAGCGCCCTCCCTGCTCTGCCAGGGGTCCCCGGATTCCTCGACCCCCCTTCGGCCTGCACGGGACACCCCGAACCCCCCAATGGCTTCTCTATCTAAGGACTCCCAGGTCAGGCTTGTGCCCTGAACATCGCAGCCCCAGGGAGCCCCTGAGCCTCCCCCGCTGTCCCCAGGCGCCTGGCTCTCCTAGGCCTGGGGCTCCCGCTCTAGCTCAGCCCAGGCACCCCGGGGCGGTTACAGCGCGAGTCCCCGGCGGCTCCTTCCCGCCGCTCACAGGGACCAAGGAGCGGGAACGAGCCCCGACTCCCTGCGGCAGCCCCCGGCTTCATCCAGCCTTCCTCCCCGGATCTGACTGCGGCCCGGCTCACTTCCGCGTTGTGCATCGCGAGTACTCCTTCCCCCGGCCCGCGCGCCGCGGCACCAACGTTCCGGCCCCGGGGCGGCCTGGGCCCCCGCCCAGAATGGGAGGGGATGAGCGGGGGGAGGGAAGACTTTCAGCCTGAGACTGAGATCTTGAGGGATTCCTCAGGGCTGCCCCACTGTCCCCAGCGTCACTGGGCAGCGCCATGGGGGTTGCCCCCAGTGCCAAGCCTGTGGGTGCTGCAAGTGTCATGGGGCCTTTGCTAGGGTTGCCAACATTGTATTTCAAAAACAAGGGACTGTTTTCTTAGTCCCTCTGCCCCACTCCTCCTCTGGGTATTATTAATTATTATTAATAATAATATAATTAATAAGCAGTACTCATCTATATTCAGCAGCGGTATTTTTTGCTGCTTTTTGCAGCACTCAGCAATTCCCGAGCTTGTTGTACAGAGATGAAAAAATAAGGGATGGATGTCCCTTGTAATAAGGGACTGTTGCCGGGGCCATCCCAAGTTTGTAACAATGTCCTCGAGGGGTCACTGTCTGCAGGGACCAAACTCCGTGAAAGCATAAGCCCGTACTGATCAGGGCCGGCTCCAGGGTTTTTGCCGCCCCAAGCAGCACAAAAAAAAAAAAAAAAGCCGCGATCGCAATCTGCAGCTCTACCACCGCCGCTTCAGTCTTCGGCGGCAATTCGGCGGCTGGTCCTTCCCTCCAAGAGGGAGTGAGGAACCCACCACCGAATTGCCGCCGTAGAGCCAGACGTGCTGCCCCTCACCATTGGCTGCCCCAAGCACCTGCATGCTGGGCTGGTGCCTGGAGCCGGTCCTGGTACTGATTGGGGAAAGGGCCAAGTCCAGTGCCTTAGCTTGAGGGCAGTAGCTGACTCATTAACCTCTCTACAGGACTAATCTCCAAAAGGGGTACAAAGAGCCAAACTGTTAGTAGGATCACCAACCCGAGCATTCAGAAACCATTAGTCAGGCCCCAAAATCATGAGGTTGTTGTAAAAATCATGAGCTATTAAAACTAATAAACGTTGGGTTCTGCTGATTTGCCTTCTGGTTTCCCAGCATTTACTGTTTAGATGTTCCAGCTTTTCTCTGCAACCAGGAGGGCTGAAAATGAGCTTCTCACATAATCACAAGACTCCAGAAGATGGGGCTTTAAGAAAAGCACTGGCTATTGCAAGATTCTGGGTAAAATCATGATAGCTAGCAACACAGTACATAAGCATCAGAGTAACACGGAATAGAGGAACAGAAAGGTGACCTCTCTCCAGGCAGGCTGCAGCCAGTACAGTTCTGGAATTCTTGTCTGCATTCATTTAAAGTGTGGGAGATGTTATTTACTAATTAAAACAAAAATACACATTGAAACTTTAATTTATTTGAATTTTTCAAATGGCAGAAAAAAACGTAGAGAACTGGGGTTGACTTAGAGAAGAATCTCAGGCTTTCACAGTTTCCTTTGTTGCTGGATTGTTCTATTGCACTGGGCATTCTGTATGCTGTGCTGCTTCCTGGAGCTGCCTGGGAGCCTCCTTTTGGTATGGAGAGGGATCTATGCTTCTGCTGTCGGCCCAGTGATCTACACATTCTTTCTTGTCTCACCAGGGCCCCACAGCTTACTTTTGAAACAGCAAGAAACTGAAGCCAATGTACCGTGGCAGGCAGCAGAGCAATTGTCCCACTCTGCACCTCTCTTGTCCTTCAAGAGATTCAGTGGCCTAAATTTTCAGAAAAAGACGTGGCATTTGTACATATGGTTCAGGCAATTACCATAATCACAGATACCTTTTCCAGAAAAGTCATTCCACTGTGTCTAGCCACCTGGGTCAGCATCTATAGTGAGCAGTGGCTTTTGCCATTATAAGACATTTTAGGACCCATTTTTGAACAGCTCTACTGCCTCAATGGAAGAGACTAGAAATTTGGAATTTGAGAGGGATATAGGCCTCAGTCCTGCAAAGACTTAGCCATGTGCTTCATTTTCAGTGGTCTGGTGAAAATCTGTTTTGAGTTTGGCTGAATTATAAAGGTTTAAATATACACTTCACTCCTCTAAGTGATTTTTTTAATCTACTATAAAAAATTTATTCTGTGAGAACAGGTTTTTGCTAATGATCTTCCAACACTTTCTTGGCACTGCGCATGCATGTGTATGTAAGCTGAATTGAATTCTTCATTCAACAGGCAATCTCTCAATGTTCCTTTAGTTCTGGACATGTGTATATAAGAAAGCTGGTTGGAATTTCTCTGAATCTGATGAGGGTGCATATGAAATAAGCCCTCGTTTCATACCATATTGCAAGGGGCAGATGGTACCTTAACTTTTACATTTCATAACTTCATTTTTGCAAACGTTGATGTTCTTTTAGCATAGTTTTTTCTTCCTTTCTTGTCTCCATTTAAAGATGTTTTTGGATTCCCAGATCTCTGGCCTCTTTTTGTATTATAACTTACTTGGTATTTTGTTGTTGTTGTTTTAAGTGCTATTTCTTCTGCTTGCTTCCCCACTATTTCTTAGCATCTTTTCCTTGCTGCCCTACTTAGTGAACAATGGTACAGTACATGCTCTATGGACTCTCACATTCCTCCACTCACATTCTCGCCCACAACCAGGACCTAATCCAAAGCTCATTGAACTTGATGGTAGTCTTTCCATTTACCACAGAGGGTTTTAGATCAGGCTCTCAAAGAAAGACAAAAGTACGCCTTATTTCATCTAAAAATTCTATTTTGAGGCAAACTGCTAAGTAAAATTTTTCAAAAATGGTTAGATAACTAGAGCCACATTTTCAAAAGATGACTTTAAAATTGTGCCCACATGTTTTGACATCTCAGTTTAGTTCCTAATAGTCACCAGCATTGTGTAACTATTCAGACTATTTAGACAAGGGTGATTAGATTTCATGCTTCAGGGCTCAAAACAAGGGTCAGGAAGGAACGTCTTCTCTCTCCCCCATTGGTACATTTCATATGGGGGTAGCAGAGGGAACATTGCAATCCTCTGATGCTACAGGCCAGTGCCAGTGGCAGGATATTGGGCTAAATAGACCAATAAGTCCAACTCAGCATGACAAACCCTACAGTCCTTTCACAATTGGGATCTTTGTTGGCAATCTCAGCAGAGATGTTAAAGAATACCAACATTTTTATGGCTGACTTAGAACAACGCTTCCTCAGCTCTCGTCCCTTAATGCCCCTACTCTACTTGTGCTACACTGATGACATCTTTATCATCTGGACCCATGAAAAAGAAGCCCTTGAGGAATTCCACCATGATTTCAACAATTTCCATCCCACCATCAACCTCAGCCTGGACCAGTCCACACAAGAGATCCACTTCCTGGACACTGTAGTGCTAATCAGGGCCGGCTTTAGCAAGAGCGGGGCCCGATTCCTGGGGGCGGGGCTTGCTGCAAGCCCCGCCCCCAGGACTCGAGCCACGCCGCGCTGCCGGGGGGGGGGGGGGGGCGAGCCGAGGGGTGGGGGGCGGGCGAGCGTGGAGGA